TTCTTTCCTCTATTTCCCTTTACTTTCCTCTTGCCCCACTATCATCTTCAGCCTTCATTTGGGTTTCAGTAATTCCTCTGGATTCCATTGCCCTTTATCAAGCCCTACCAGGCCTCCTACACCCTCCTCACCACTGATTTTGGATCACTTGTTGTTCCCTTGTCCCTGGGTCTGTTAACACCCACTTCCTTTCACCTGCCTCCCTCTTCTCCCATGTCCCCCTGGAACCGATGATTCCATTGTTTTCTCCTCCAGATTGTTTACCCCCCCTATATTATCTAGATAGACCTGCAGAGATAATATGCACAAAACAAGACAGAACTAAACAAAGCAACAAAAGAAAACAAAACACCAATAACAAAAAAAATAACCAATGACAAAAAAAAAAGAAAAAGAAAAAAACCTGTAAATAGTTCAAGGTCTGTTTGTTGACCTTCAGGAGTGTTTTCCGGTTGAGTCTGATGGGGTGCCACACCCTGGCCCCAAAGTCTATTTGTAGTATGCCCTGGGAAAGTATCCATTTATATATAATCATAAGTGTACTGGTTTTGCTTGTCTAGGAAACTCTGCTTAGTACAAAATCCCAACCCACTCAAGTCCACAAGTCTGACACTAGTCCGTAAGTCCCTCTTCAGACTCATGCAGCCAATGACGCAGGATGTAGGAAGTTCACAGGCCGGTGGGTGCAAAGTTGTGTGGATTCAAGGTTGGTGGAAATACGGCAGAGCTCCAACAGCTCTCAGGGTGGCCAGCAAGCAGGAAGGTGAAGGAAGAGAGAGGGGGAGGTTCCTAAGGCCCTACTTATGAGATGGCCACATATGCAAGGAGGCACCATCAGGCTGTGACCTGATTGATGGGTTGGATACCACCCCTACACTTTTAGATCTCTTAAAGTTGACATAAAACTATGAAACTACCACACCTAAGCATACTTTAATCCTCAAAGTGACATCTTTGCTCTTTAACACCTTAATCAGGTCTTGTGCAGATCTGCCGATAGCAGCAATGCATCATTTGATTTCTTGACTGCTGCATCCATGAGAGTTGATCCAAGTGAAATCCTTGACAACTTGAATCTTTTCTCTTTTTCCTTTTGATGTTGTCTATTGGTCCAGTTGTGAGAATGTTATTGTCTCTGAGTTATAATCTATACCGAAGGCTGTAGTTTTTGATGTTCAACAGTAAATGCTTCAAGTCCCTTTAGCTTTCAGTAACCAACGTTGGCCTTCCTCCAAACCTGATGCTGCATTCTTCTCCACAGCTCAGGTTTTCAGATTTACCCAGCATACAATGAAATGAGATGTGCACCTTTCTGGATCTTAAACCATGCAGAATTCCTTTGTTCTATTTCTTGATCTATGCACAGGTTCTGCATGAGCACAATGAAGTGTTCTGGAATCCCTGTTCTTTACAAAGTTGTCCACTTGGTTGTAATTCACAGTCAAGTGGCTTTGGATGGCCAATAAAAAAACAAGTAAACGCCTTTCTCTACTTTCAGTCAAGATTCATTAACAACCACACAGATATCTCCTTCCACATCCTCTTCTGAATCTGGCTTGAATATCTGGTAGCTCTCTGTTGATGTATTACTGAAACCATTTTTAAATTATCTTCAATTTTTACTTGCATTAATTATATTTTCAATAATTTCCACATTTTGTGGGTCCCTTTCTTTGAAATAGGCACAGCTATGAGTCTCTTCCAGTTGGTTGGCCAGACAGATGTCTTCCAAATTTCTTGGCATAGAAGTGTAAGTGCTTCCAGCACTGCATCAATGTGTTAAACCACTGGCATTGGTATTCCATCAAATCCTGGAACCTTGTTTTCCTCTAACGCCTTCAGCACAGATTGGAAATTTTCCTTCAATACCATCGGTTCTTGATCACCTTGCCTCTTCAAATGACTGAATGCCGATCAATTTTTTTAGGTACAGTGACTGTATCTGTATTCCTTCCATCTTGCATCATTCAATATTTTGTCCCTAGAATCCTTTAATATGTCAACTCAAAACTTGAATTGGTTTTGCACATTTCATTCTGATCCTTTGTCTTCTCAAACTGTTATTTGAAATCTTCTGTTTAACTCTTTTATTTCATCACTTCTTCCTTTTGCTATAGCTATTCTACATTTGAGGGCAAGTTTTTTTTAAATCACTTTATTGGGGCCTCATACAACTCATCACAATCCATCCATCCATCCACTGTGTCAAGCACATTGTACATTTGTTGCCATCATCATTCTCAAGACATTTGCTTTCTACCTGAGCCCTTGGTATCGGCTCATTTTCCCCCTCCCTCACCTCTCGCCCCTCCCTCACGAACCCATGATAATTTGTAAATTATTATTATTTTGTCATGTCTTACACTGTCTGATATCTCCCTTCGCCCATTTTTCTGTAGTCTATCCCCCAGGGAGGAGGTTATATGCAGATCATTGTAATTGGTTCCCCCTTTCCACCCCGGCCTTTTGTTTTCTTCATGTATGTTCCCACAACTTCTTTAGACTTCTGTCATTTGTGTTCAGTGCAGCAAATCTGTTCTTGAAATAGTCGCCAATTTCAGGTGGGACATACGAAAGGTTGTATTTTGACTCCTGTGGACTTCTTTTACTATTTTTCACCTGCAACCTGAACTTTCATAGGATAAATTGATAGTATGCTTTCCAGTCAGTCTTGGACTTATTCAAGCTGATGTTAACCTTCTCTATTGCTTTTCCCCACAACTGTAGTCAATATAGTCCACTATGCATTCCAGCAGACCAGGTCCAAGCATATATTCTTGTTGTTGGGTGCCATTGAGTCAGTTCCAATCCATAGCAACCCTATGTACAATAGAATGGAACACTGCAGGTCCTCACAATTGTTCCTATGCTAAGGCCATCACTGCAGCCACCGTTGTTAACCCATCTCCTGAGGGTCTTCCTCTTTTTTGCTGCTTCTCTATTTTACTGAGCACAGTGTCCTTTCTAAGGTTACCACAACTTTCTATTATTTGCTGTACATTCTCTGTACTGAACTGGTCATTAACCAGTTGCCCCGGAGTCAACATCAACTCACAACAGATCCATAAATCTCAGACTACAACTGGGCTCCACAGGACTGCCAGTGGCTGATTGTTCTGAAGTAGATCACCAAGCCTTTCTTCCATGGTTCCTCTGGTGAACTAGAAATAGCATGCTAAAGAATCACATATATTTTATTGTATTGTCAAAATTTTGTGAGAGAATTCACTCTACAATATAAGCTTTATTACTCATTTGTTATCTAGGACTAGGCTTAGTTTATTGATAAAAAATGAGCTGGAGACATACCTGTGATCCACTTGCATCAAAAAGTACGTGCACTGATGTTTTGGCAACTGAAGTACTTTGCTTCTTTGTAAATTCCTAAAATTAAATGAAAGTAGTGTCATTTTTTCTAATTCTTTCTACTTAATGCAATTATTTTATATGTTTCTTTTTAAATTGCCAAATTAACTTAAAAAATGGTTTTGTACAGGTTAATACTATTCTCAACAGACTCCAATGATTCCAATCAACCAGCCCCCTTAGCTTGCTATCTTGGTTGTTTTACAAGAGCTCTTAACCGAGGCTTGGTGACACAATGGGGTAAGTATTGGGCTGCTAACAACAAGGTTGGTGGTTTAAATCCACCAGCCACTCTGTGGGAGAAAGGTGAAATGGTTTACTCTCATCAACATCGCCAGTCTTGGAGACCTCTCGTAGTTCTCCTCTATCCTAAAGGTTGCTATGAGTCAGAATCAACTAAATGACAGCGGGGCAAGTGTTCTTTACTGAGTTTTTCTCCTAGTATTTTTTAACAAAAATCTTCATCAGTAAACAGACTTGTTGACATAAAACATCACATGAACTGGCATCCCAGCTTCTCAGGCAATTAATTTCTGCCTCCGAATGTCTTCTACAATATTTGAAGGTCCCTTCTCTAAGTCCTCCACAATAAGACTTTAATATGACTCTCAGTAGGTCAGCAAGCTGATGCCTATTCTAAAATGCCTTTTAAAATCAAGTTTACATTTAGTTTTAAGAAATTTAAAAAGAAAAATGAAAATGACAACAAAGAAACTTGCAACCCAACTCAAACATTCTTGAACTGTGGATTAAGGGAAACTTATAACACTCACCTTATACTTCTTTGTACCAAAAACTTTTTGAATCACATGAATGATGTCAACTGACTCAGCAAAACAGAAAAGCAATTCTTTCCCATCTCTTTTACTAATCTGTATTAGATTTTTCAGGATTATACTAAGTAGCAGCTTTTCCTCTCTCACTGTATACAAAGAAATATTTATTAGTTTACTTCTGTGATATGTTCAATACATAGATTATAAATAAGACAAGCATACGATACTAATTTTAAAGTTAATTGAATCAACATTAAAATGTTTAAAATCTCTGTTTCAAAATTAAGCACTCTAGACTAAATAGCTACTGAGTCAGTTTACCTTTCAGATTCTTGTTTCTAGATCTATAAATTAAGGGAAATACAATTGCTGATGAGATAAAACACAAAATAGATTCTGGAACCTAACAGATTCTTAATATAATATTTCTTGTACTATTGGAAATTTAATATTTCTGGAGTGAAATAGCTATTTTGCTAACTAAAAAGGTTAGCTATATTTTTAGACATTTGAATCTATTTCAATATGCTATTAAATCTAGTTGCTATACATGTAATTCATAGTAAACAAAAATAACATTTGACAATTCTTGAGTGTCAGGAAATTTTGAGGTTTAAAAAAACCTTATTCTCAATTTATCATTAAGGTGGAAACATCCTGTGTAGTAGGCGCATTCCACTTATTTCCCTCACTAAACAAGTTACCCAAAAGTTACCTGACACCCAATTATTTAGCACACATTATGGACTGCAGGGCCAGCATCAGGGAGCACCACGGTCCTTTCCTCCCTCTGGTGGTGCTCTGCTGTTGGCCGAGAGTCTGCACATCTGCGTGGCCCCAGTGCACACAGTTGTTTGGAGTAGGAAAAAAGCATCCCGAGGAAGAGGCCCACTCTAAGAAGGAAAATAACTCTCTACATCTGAAAAAAACTCTGCAAGCCAGCAGCTAAATAGTAAGGGAAGGGCATTTCTTCAGCCTGATTAGAGGGCATCTAGGGAAACAAGAGCTGGCTATTTCACTACTTGGTGGAAACAAGAATGCATCCTCTCTAACACTGGATCAGATAGTTCACAACAGTGCATGGAACACTCCAGCCAACACACGAAATGAAGAAGGGGGGAATGACCACATAAAAGGTTATCAAGGATGTGGAACAAATGGAACTCTATCTTAATGGTGAGAAAGTAAAATGGTAAAACTCCTTAGGACAAGAGGTTAGCAATTTCTTAAAAAGTGAAATATATCCTCTTGAGTATTTGCCTAAAAAAAAAGCACATATCCACGAGAATATTCATGATAGCTTAAAAAAAAAGTATCCCCAAATCCTGACATTCTAAATGTTTATCCATAAATAACTGGATAAACTAATGGAAGTAGGTCCATACAATTGAATCCTACTGAACAGTTTAAAAAAGAATAAACAGTAATAAAATATTGATACATATAACAGGGCTAAATCAAAAATTTAGAGGGGTGAGTCAAAAAGTTATCACTTCTAGGGTTTCAGTTCATACATGAATAGGTTTATTCCAAACAAGATGTGCTCTTAAACAGAGCTCTGCAACCAGCAGATGGCTGCAGAGACATTCTCTCAGCTTCGATGTTAAGCAAATTATTTGACCTCTACTTATTCAACCTCTATGCCGAGCAAATAATTCAAGAAACTGGACTGTAAGAAGAAGAATGTGGCATAAGGATTGGAGGAAGGTTCACTAAAAACCGGAGAAACGCAATTTTGCTTGCTAAAAGCAAGGAGAACTTGAAGCAATTACTTCTGATGATGATCAAAGGTTGTAGCCTTCATTATGGCTTGCAATGTTTTGTAAAGCGAACAAAAATCCCCACAAGTGAACCAATAGATAACATCATGATGAAGTTGTTAAGGATTTCGTTTTACCTGGCTCCACGATTAATAATCATGGAAGCAACATCAAAATATCAAATGATACATTGCATGGGCAAATCTGCTGCACAAGATCCTTTAAAGTGTTAAGTGCAAAGATGTCACTTTGAGAACTAAGGTATGCCTAACCCAAGCCATGCTATTTTCAATCATCTCATGCATGTGAAAGCTGGACAATGAATAAGGAAGGTGGAGAAGAATGAAAGCATTTGAAGTATGGTGTTGGGAAGACTAGTACAACTTTGAGTTCTGCCAGAACTAATCAGTCTGTACTGGAGGAAGCCCAGCCAGAATGCTCCTTGGAGGTGAGTGAGGATGGCAGACTTTGACTTGCATACTTTGAACATGTTATCAGGAAAGAATAGTCCTTAAAGAAGGACCCCATGCTTGGTGGAAGGTAAGCAAAAATTAAGATGATCCTCAATTCAATGGATTCATCTGATGGGTGCAGCAATGGGCTCGCACATTCCAATGTTGAGGCTGGCACAGACCAGGTTGTGTTTTGCTCTGTTGTAAACAGGCTTGCTATGAGTCAGAACCGACTCGGCAAGGCTGAACAACAGTTTCACTAGGGCGCATAAATAAAGAGAGACATAAATAGAATACATACATGCCAGTCAATGCATTGTCTTCTGGGGGGATCTGCTGGTCCAGTTAAGTTCAAAACAGAGAACAGTTCAAAAAGTTATAGTGATTGCAATTAAAAGGGGTAACTTCCACCGATGTTCTCAAAGGATATAGAGTGATCATGGGGACTTATGAAAAAATTTGAATAAAAATTGAATTTTTCCAACAGTGAGAAAAAGGCCAAGGAAATTGGACCAAGGCATTTTTTTCCATAACAACAGTGCTCATTCATCAAGAGTAATAAGGGTTGTCCTATGAGAATGTCACTGGAAAACTTTATCCCATCTATTCTGTAGCTAATCTTGGCTCTTCAGACTACTTTTGGTTCTCGAAACACAAAGAACATTTAACAGGATCGTATGCATCCCTTCAGGATACTCCGTTATTTTGACTTGATGTAAATCGAAGAACACAGAATTCTTTGGTGTCAGGTGAGAAAGATGGAAGCAACCTCTTTAGAAGTAAGTGTACAGCCCTAGTTGGAGGATATATTGAAAAACAATAGCTTTGGATTTTGATATTTTTATTTAATGGAGGTTGCCATGATTTTGTAGCACAACCTTTTGACTTACTCTGTATATATGATGAAAGTATCCAGATAAAAACTGATATTCTCTGTGTGGTTTGACTTAGATGAAATTCTAGAAAATGCAAACTTAAAGTGAAGGAAAAGGATCAGTAATTGCCTGGGGATGGGTGGAGGAAGTACACTATGAACTTTTAGGGACAACTAATATGTTTGACTAAGGAACAGCTGCATTTAAATTCTGGTGTTGCCGAAGAAGACAGAATATACCACCACAGACAGACAGAAGAAGAAACAAAGCCGTGTTGGCAGGAAGCACAGCCCAAATGTTCTTCAGAATTGAGTATTAAGAGACTTTGTCTTAATGTCTTGGTTACAAAAGAGAGCCCTACCTCAAATATAATTTATGGAAAATATTTATTGGATCTTAAATAAAAAGACAATGCAAAGACAAAAGACACATCATGTGGATGAGGGAGGCCATTAGCACGAAGTCAAGATGGTTCCTAAGGATTCACAATTGGGACACTAGTTAAATAAGTCCCCTGTCACAAATTCATGATTGGTAGTAGAGCAACACATTGCAGTTACAGGTAGGGCTATAGAAGCAGGAGCAGGGCCATGATTGGGTCATGTACATCATGTTAGATAGAACAGCTTACAAGATTGGTCCAGGGCTTACAAGATTCTAAACAAGGTAATCAGGGCGCGTCTGACAGGGCATGACACATGACTGTGTGACCCTGCACTGTTCCTAGTAAGGTGATCTCCATCAAGGACACACCCAGGCAAGCCCCTAGAGACTGTCTCTCCTGGGGCGGGTTGGAGAGGGTGGAGGTAATCTACTTTGCAAGGCACTCTGCTTGAGGGCACGATGATCTACATTCTTTGTTAATGATCAGAAAGAATTCAACAGAGGCTTACTATACATGGGGATCCTGAAAATGAATTTTTGGCTGTCACTGCAATCTATAGCCTTTTGAAAACTGGGATGTGTAGAATTTAAGCGCTAATACACACAGAAGGTAATCCAAACAGAGGAAGACTCGCAGTGAGACAGACTGTTTCGGTGGCTGCAACAATGACACAAACGTAGCAACAGTTAGAGGGCGGCAGAAGGTTGGGCGGGACTTCGTTCTGGAATTGCTGCTTGTCAGAGCTGCCGTGATGGCCTCTGACAAAGTTTGTTAACATGACTGTGGTGATGGGGTACACATATGTTTAGGTATGCTGACTTTGGCTAATATACATGCCAAGCCAAGTTCAAGAACTCGGCAAAAATGTCCACACGCACTACTTTTATTTAATATTGAAAACCCCAAGGAGCAGAGTTCTCTGAAACACCACAGTCATCATGAGTCAAAATCTGTCTGATGGCAACAGTTTGTTTTTCCACTTTCCATGTCAGTATTGTACTGGAGGTTCTAGTTCATCTCAATAATGCAAGAAAGTGAAATAAAAGGCATGAGTAACAGAAAAGAACAAGACAGAGCACTGAGAAATAGACTCAACCTCACGGAGTCATTTGGCTACCATTAAAAGGATCAAACGAAATCCAGTGGGGGTAGGATTTCAATAAATAGAGCTATAATAACTGCACATGCATCTATATATTTTAAATGAACCTCAACTCCTATCCCATACCATAACCGAACATGTATTTGTGATGAATCACAGACTTAAACATGCAAAGTTAAAATCACTTATATCCTATAGAAAAATCAGAGACCATTTTTGTAACATACCAGTAGGGAAATATTTCTTAGGTTTTAGAAGTAAGTAACGTAACAAGAAAGGAAAATTGACTATTATATTTTAAAACTTCTGGCTATCAATGACACTCTAAGAAATCAGCAAGCAAGACACAGACTAAACACAGGACACCTTTCTCTCTCTATCAAAAGATTGGTACCCAGGATACTTAAGAGTTGCTAAAAACTTACTCATTAGAAAAACTAATAAAAAAGACAGTCCCAAAATGGAAAATATGTAAATACTATAGATACTTCATAAAACATTATGCATGAATTGGCCAGTAAATACATGAAAGTGTTCAATGTCACTGGTTCTTAGGGAAAGGCAAATAAAAAACAACCATACCACTATTTAACTTATCAAAGTGATCAGAATAGGTTTTGATATTTGAATTTACAGCAGTACCAATCTATTGAGTTGTAATATTATGGAGCTACAATTCAAGCAATTTCAGTTATAGAGGTAGAGAAACAAGCCTTTGGATTAAGTCAACCAAATGAGATGGAAGGTAAGAACCTTGAAGGTACTGCCAAAAGAGAGGTCAACAGGCTCTGAGTAGACAGGGAAGATAATAAGTACAGTGGGGGGGTGGAAAGCTGATAATTAGGGTGGGAGTATAGGGTTGGGGAACTTCAGATAATGAACTACCAAATTTCTGGGTTTGAACATATGAAAATGTTGATTTTGTTATGTTGGAAAGCATGCAATGTCTATTCCACATGGATCATAGGAAACAAGTGCAGTACCTTCAATATCATAAAGCTGCACTAATTCCTCAGGCACAGTGACTGCTTCCCACTGATGTTCCTGAAATTAAAAAACAAACCAACAAACACAAGATTTGACAATGAATGGGTGGATAAATAGATGTTAATAATTTATTTCTGACTTAAAACTTCTTTATAGACAAGATTTTGGGTTATTTAAAGCAAAAGGATTTATTTTTTACTAAATATCATTAATACTCAGAGCACATAACACACTTCTTGCTCTGAAAGTCAATGCATAAACTAACAACATGACATATTGTGTGCATCACAAGTTCACTACATGTTCAAGGAAGTGATATCGCTTACCATTTTAGTTTTCTATTCTTAACAAAATAATAATTACTTTCTTTGATATTTACGAGGTTATCCTTTAAAAAATTCACAACCCTATTATTTCTTCCCTTGAAATGTTTTAGGAAGTGATATTCATCCCTCAATTTCCACTACACCATTTCCCAGGGCATGTAACCACAATACTTAACAGATTGTCCTTAGATTCAATCATTGGATGCATGTGAAAAATAACCTAAAATGATTTTCCTTGTACGTTCAAAGTAAAGCCAGAGCTCACAAATAAAGTCCTAAAATTAGACACCATGACTAAAAGATGGGTCCCTAAAACCTTCCAGTAAGCTTATGAGGAAAACAGATCCAATCCTTCTGTTATTTAAGGACAAATTACTTTAAAAAAAAATCATTTTACTGGGGGCTCATACAACTCTTATCACAATCCATACATACATCAATTGTAGAAAGCACATTTGTACATTTGTTACGCTCGTCATTCTCAAAACATTTGCTCTCCATGTAAGTCCCTGGCATCAGCTCCTCATTTCCCCCCCTCCCCCTTCCCCCTCATGAACCCTTGGTAATTTATAATTTTGTTATATCTTACTGTGTCCGACGTCTCCCTTCACCCACTTTTCTGTTGAAGGACAACTTATTCTATAGAATTCTCTTAAACACCCAATCTTCTCATTAGCTCCCTCTAGTCTCTCCCTTCCCCCACGTGAATTTTAACTACTGTCTCAAGGCTTCACCATCTTTACAACCCTTCCCCTTTAATATGCAGGCTTTTCCAAATCTAAAAACCTCAGCAACAAGACCGTTTTGTATTTCCTTCCCTCCCTAAAGCTCTCAGCAGTCTTCTATTTGTTCCTTCACGTAAAAGGTGCCCTTTGAGGTCTATGCCCCGTTATACTCTGCAGCCACTGGTGCTATCAGCTACTAAGATCAAAGTGACACTCAGATATTGAGGTCCATGACATCTGTTTCATTGCCTTTTTCTTTAAAAAATTATGGAAAATGTAAGATAGATTTTAAAAAATCATACTGCCTTACCCAGTTCAACATTTATTGATATATTGCTCCCAGCTGTTTTCAGCTCCACCCACACCCCTTTTAGCACAGACCTCCCACTTTATCTCCTCTCTCCCTCTCTATAAGCTCACCACCAGTTTTCAATGCTCTTATCTTTTTTCCCCGTTTTTAAAAAATAATTTTATTGGGGGCTCATACAACTCTTAGCACAATCCATACATATGATCGGAAGCAACTAACAACAGTCCCTCCTCCTCTAGTTGCTCCAGGACTCTCCCTTGAGATCTTTACCAAAGAATGCATGTTTCCAGGAATGCTTGGTACCTCATCACTTAAGTAAAACTGCTCTTTCAGGGGTCAGCACCCCTAAATTGCACTTGTGGACCATTTCCTATTAAAACTACACCTTTTTCATTAATTCTCTTTAAGCTGATTCTTTAAGTATCTGTCTAGTCTCTTTTACCTAGCCTATAAAGACCATGTCTCAGCATTCATTCAATCCCATAATTTTACTACCATCTCTGTACAGATGGCTTTTAAATTGCTGTTTGTTGCTCACTTCTCTCACCTGAGCTTCAGCCCACCAGGTATCTTCAGCTGAATTTCCCACAAGCATCGCTGAATCAATACATTCAAAGGAGAACTCAATCTCTTCCTTACAAAACTTATCTTCCTGTAAATAGCATCTCCATCTCAAGTGCCAAACCAAACCCACTGCTATTAAGTCATTTCTGACTCACAGCAACCCTGAAAGAGGGAGCGGAATTGCTGCATCCAAAGCAAAACTCACTGGCACCGAGTCACTCCTGACCCGCAGTGAGCCTTTAGGACAGGGCAGGACTACTCATTTGGGTTTCTGAGGCTGTGACTCTTGATACGGATAGAATATTTCCTCTGTCTCCCTTGGAGCTCCTGGTGGTTCTGAACTGCTGACCTTTCGGTAGAAAAGCAGTTCTCAACCTGTGGGTTGCAGCTCCTTTGGGGGTGGAACAACCCATTCACAGGGGTCGCCCGATTCACAACAGTAGCAAAATTACAGTTATGAAGTAGCAATGAAAATAATTTGGTGGTTGGGGGGTCACACAACATGAGGAAGTGTATTAAAGGGTCGAAGCATCAGGAAGGTTGAGAACCAATGGATTAGAAGCAGCCCTGGATGCTTAGTAGTTAGGAGTTGGGCTGCTAACAGCAAGGTCAGCGTTTTGAAACCACCCGCTGCTCATCTGGAAAAGACAGGGCTTCCACTCCCAGAAAGTGCTCCAGTCTCGGAAACGCACAGGGGCAGTTCTACCTGCCTTACAGGGCCTCGCTGAGTTGGCATCAACTCAGTGGCAGTGACTTTGTTTTTCACTCTAATTTTAGGAATCCTTCCTCCTTTTACTAATGGATAGCACACCAAGGCCTGTCAACTCTAACAATCTCTAGTTGTTGTTTTTTAAATCCCCTTCTTTCCACTTGTTTCCACAATCACTTCCAAACACGATGGTGCCAGGACACTCACCTGGAGCATCACACGCCATCTGATCCTACTAGATCTAGCAGAAGCTTGTCCACAAATATGGTCACTGTATCCCCCAAACCAGAAGATTGTTGGGTACCTAGTAAGGTCATACCAAGTATCTTGGACTGATGATCCCCAATTTAAAATCCTTCTTTTGTTCCACAATGCCTTGTTACTAATCCCCCTTGAGCAATGCATCCATACTACTATGTAAAGATACAAGGTATCTCTCAGTGAGTATGGCTGGGAGGGTAACTTTAATTGAGTGACCCGTTGTGGTTATGTGCTGTTGAGTCAGTGCTGACTCACAGTGACTCTCTGTCCAACAGAAGGAAGTACAGTCTGGTCCTGTGTCAACCTCCTACTTTTTGTGTTTGAAGCACCATTAGTCCATCTCCTTGAGTGTCTTCCTCTTTTTCTGCTGTCTTTCCACTTTACCAAGCATTATGTCCTTCTCCAGGGACTGGTCTCTCCTGATAACATGTCCAAAGTACATGAGATGAAGTCTTGTCATCTTTGCATCCAAGGAACATTCTGGCCTTACTTCTTCCAAGACACTTGTTTGTCCTTTTGGCAGACCTCGATACTCTCCATGTTCTTCACCAGCACCGCAACTGAAATGTGTCGATTCTTCTTCAGTCTTCCTTATCCAATGGCCAACTCTCACATACATATGAGGCAACTGAAAGTACCATGGCCTGGGGCAGGCATACCGTGGTTCTCAAAGAAACATCTTTGCACTTCAACACCTTAAAGAGGGATTGTGCTGCAGATATACCCAATGCTAGACGTCATTTGATCTCTTAACAGCTGCTTCCATGAACACGGAATGTAGAACCAAGCAAGATGAAGTCCTTGACAGCTTCAATCCTTTCTATGTTTACCATGATGTTACCTGCTGGTCCAGTTGTGAGGATTTTGGATTTCTTTACATTGAACTGTAATCCATACTGAAGGTTACAATCTAGGATGTTGATCATTAAGGGCTTCAAGTCCTCCTCACTTTCATCAAGCAAGGTTGTGCTTTTTGCTGATCACAGGTTGTTAACAAGCTTTCCTCCAATTTTGATGCTATGTTCTTCCTCATAGAGTCCGGCTTCCTGGATTATTTGCTCATCTTTACTAGGAGGTGATATTTGTGCTGAAAACTCAAGGGACTTAAGATCTGGAAGAGGTGTTTCAAGGCATTAAAACCATCAAATAGGAAAACATAAGATGGATTAAAGGAAAAGAAAAAAAACCCTGAAAAAACAACATGGTTGAAGCAGAGTGAATACAGAGGGACAGTATGTCAGAGAAAGTGCCAGGGTCAGTATATAAAGAGCCTTGCATGCCACATTAAAGAGACAAAAGAACGGTTTGAAGGAGCCATTCCAAAAGGTTAGATGTTTGAGCGCACCCAAAAGTGCCTAACAAGAAAGGCCGAGTGACCTATTTCTGAAAACCAACCACTGCATGTCCTACGGAGCACACAGTTCTACTGGCACAGATAGTGTCACCCATGAGTCAGAATCGATTGGCTCAATGGCAACTAGTTAAATGGAGAATAGTCTCCCGCCTAAGAGGGACCATAAACAAAAACCAAACTCACTGCCACTGAGTCACTACTGACTCATCAGGGCTACCATAGGACAGGGTAGAACTGTCACTTTAGGTTTCCTAAGACTCTTTAGACCATTTTAATGCCATTTAAGTCCAGAGGACTCTAAATGCATTTTTAAGAGTGTCCCAGCATCTACATCAGTGCCTACAATACAGCAGGCACTAAAAGTTATAACTATATTTTGTATGTTCCATATCACATGACACTATACTTTAACTGCTTATTTTCTTGCCTGAATCATCCATTAGACCACATTGTGTGAAAAGTAAGGACCACATCTTTCCTATACTGTCCTTTTTTACCCCAAAATAAAAATGCAGTTCCTGAAAAAAATCCAGTTAGATTCGCCTACAAACTTCACAGAAATATTTGCACTTATGAAAGCTGCTGTTAACCCTGAGAAGCAGGACCTGTCACTGAAACTAGATTTTAATCAGGTATTCTAAGAAGGCACTTTAAAAAGGAATGAAGATATTTGGAAATCCAATGGCATCTGATTAATGTTTAGCTATAAAGTTTACCTGGAACAAAAAACAAGCTTACACAGAAACAGATTTAAAAGACTAAGATCTTAGTATAACCTAACCAGCCAGACCAGATCAGTAAACAGTGCTCAACAAAGATTTTGGCAAACTTATAATGCTGTCTGAGCTAGAAGTAATCACTCTACTAGATACCGGGGATAGCTATGAGGAAATAAGATGGAAAGAAAGCACAGAGTCACTGGACCAAGAAGAACCAACAGCACTGAAGGAAGGTGTTCAAGATGCATGCACTGAAAGCATTAGCCAAAATCAAGGCTCCAGAAATGGATGGAATACCAAGTGAAATGTTTCAACAAGCCGATGAAGTGCTGGAGACACTCACTCCTCTATGCCAGCAAGTTTGGAAAACTGCTAGTTGGACAGCTGACTGGAAGAGATCCATATTTGTATGCACAAAGAAAAATGACCCAACAGAATGCTCAAATTACAGAACAATATCATTGATATCACACGCATGTAAAATGTTACTGAAGATATTCCAACAACAGTTGCAGGGCATTGACAGAGAGCTGTCATAGATAGATTCAGGCCAGATTCAGAAGCGATTGTGGAACAAGAGATATTACTGCTGATTTAGATTATCATGGCTCAAAGTAGAGATGTTTACCTGTGGGTTTTTTTTGTTTTACTAGGTCAAGGCATTTGATTGTGTGGATCATAAAAAAAACTATGGGTAACCTTGAGAAGGGAATTTCATAATACTTCTTGGTGCTTATGAAGAACGTGTGCATGAATTAGGAGGCAGCTATGCAAACGGAACAAGGGAATACTGCAATGTTAAAATCAGGAAAGGTACATGACAGGGTTATTCCCTCTCACCATTCTTATTCTATTCGTATGAGGAGCATACAAGGTAATTAGGGAAACCAGCTTATCAGAAGAAGAATGTAGCATTAGGATTGGAGGAAGGCTTATTAGCAGCCTGCAATATGTAGATGACACAACCTTCTTTGCTGACGGTGAGGAGGACTTGCAGCACTCACTGATGAAGATCAAGAATTGCAGCCTTCAGTGTGGATAACAACCACTCAATGTGAAGAAGACTAATATCCTCACAACCTGACCAATAAGTAACACCATGATAAATGGAGGTTGAAGTTGTTCACTTGCTTGGATCCATTACCCATGTTCATGGAAACAGCAGTCAAGAGGTCAAAATACAAATTTCATTGGGTCAATCTACTGCACGAGACCTCTTTTGGAGTGTCGAAAAGCCAGGTGTTACTTTGAGGACTGAGGTGTGCCTGACCCAAGCCATGGTATTTTCAATGGCCTCATACGCATGTGAAAGTTGGGCACTGAATAAAGGAGACAGAAGAATCAATGCATTTGAATTGTGGTGCTGGAGATGAACATTCTAAGTATCATGGAGTGCCAAAAGGACAAACCAGTCTGTCTTGGAAGGAGTACAGCCAGAGTGTTCCATAGAGGCAACACTGGTGAGACTTCTTACATACTTTAAATAGGTTTTCAGCAGAGACCAGTCCTGGAGAAGGACATCATGCTTTGCAAAGTAGAAGGGCAGCAAAAGAGAGGAAGATCTTCAAGATGTATTGACACAGCGACTGCAACAATAGGTTCAAATCCTTCAAACGCAAGAACAATTGTGAAGCTGGCCCATGATCAGTCAATGTGTCCTTCTGTTGTTCACAGGGTCGCTAGGGGTCAGAACCAATTTGATGGCACCTAACAGCAGTAGCAGCAGCAGCGAGGAAAACAAATGGTTCAAAGGTTTTCCTCAAGTTAAACATTTCTCTGGAAAAAATACGTAGGTTTAAACATAGCATATAATGTAGCATAGAAGGAAAAATACAAACACTCACTTGTAAATACCACCATCATTGTCAATCGATTCCTGATTTTGATTTTTATTAATAAATTAAAGTAGTACCAATTATCTGTTAGTGTTGTTTTTGAGTGACTTTGTATATGTGAGTAACTTGTCTTTTCAAGACAAGTTCATGTGAATGTAAATTTTCATTTGTCATTAATAAGTAATTTATTTCTGACAAAAAGCTTAAGCTTATAAATGTTAAAATGAGAAAACAAAGCTTAAAATGTCCAATATTTAAAAATGAAACAAGCTTATAAGTGTTAAAAAGATTAACATGAAAAGTTATCGTACGAGCCCCAATAAAATGATTTTTTAAAAAGAAAGAAAAGTTATCAATAATTTTTGTCATAAAAAAACATTAGAAACTAGATTCACTTTTATTTGCTTGATAGGTAAACATCTAAATCTATTAAATAGAAAATATAATTATAGAAAAATTTACTCTTAAAGTTAAAAATATGTATATATATGTAAAACAATATAGAGGGACTAAAGCTTACATCGTCTCCAGAAATGTAGAATGATATTGTCTGGGTGCCCAGGTTAAAGTCAATCCAAAAGCCCTCAAGTTTGTCATCCGATGGTAGATGTAACTAGTAAAAAAATAAGTAAAACTAGTATTTACTATGATTTTTAAAATAATAGAAAATTATGGCCATGGTTTATCCATGGCTGAGTTTTTGTTCATATGTTTAAAGCATAAGTGACAGGTGAAGAGAGAGAAAGAACAGAGCAACGTACTATTCTGAGCACTTCAGAAACAAGAGTAAATGCTCCCTAATTTTATAGAGCTATTAGCTAGCCCTAAGAAATCACAAATAATCTAAGTGCTATAAGAAGATGAAAATACTAGATTAAGTACATCCATATGGACTTGACTAAGGAAGCAGAAGAACATTTGGAAAAGTAAATCCCATCTATTTTAAAGTTTTCCTGGTTTATTGGTGGTCTCTTTCATAAATGTCTCCTAATGTCACTGTTTGACAGAGAACACTACCCCAGCTGTACTTGTGATCTAATAGTGACTATTTTAAATGTACTACCCATTTATAACCCTTTAATTCTTTGGACCCTTGCATTTAAAAAAATCCCTTACTTGAAAAAGTATGTATTTATAACTTACTTCATAGTTATCTAGAAAGGCTGATACACAAGGAAATGTATACACCCTGAAATAAAAAGGAGTTTGGGTTAAAAAAAAAAAGAACGTTATAAACTGTCACAGCAAAATCATGTCTAGCTATAGAAATCATGTCTAGGATACAAAGGAAATCAAGCAGAGTTATGCCAGGGTTTAAGTGGTATACAGTAGAACCTGGACCTCAACATTAATTCGCTCTAGGAGGAGCATCGAGATGCGATGTGGTCGAGTTCCAAATCAATTTTTCCCATAAGAAACAACTGAAAATGGATTAATCCGTTCTCAACAAACAAGATTTTACCCTAACCTTACCTTTTTATACAAAACATTACACAGAAATTTCAAAGTAGAAAAGTTCGGAGTTAAATAATATAATTTAAATAAGAAATACAACATTTAAAAAGTTTTTAACAACTTCAAGTGTAGGCCATACCTTGAGACTGATGAGGATCTGGATCTGTGGGCATGCATGTGGAGAGGAGGTGTGGAGAGAGAGAGTCATTGTTTGGAAGGGGAATCCCCTTCCATAAAATCAACTGATAGCTGCTTTTCAGAAGTTTTTTTTCCCCTCTTTGTCTTTTTTTTTTCTCACTAGGACCTGGCTGGTTTTCTCTTAAAAAAAAAATCTGTCTAATGTGATCTGCTGTTGGCATTTCCTTAACTGTTTTTCTAAAAGGGTTTACTAGATTTTCATCAACAACATCAATAACACGGTTAGCCAGTTCATTATGGTTCTTGTCAAAAGATATTTCACGTCGAAATCCGATGATGTCACACACTGATGGGGTCAAGTACTGGGGTTCTACTGTACTTAGCACTCATCAACTCTTTAATTTCCTTTGCAAGTAAAGTAAATGTGATCTCACTCATCAATGTATCCTGACAATGTATAAGGTGACAGGCACAAGTGTGCATTCATCCTCAAAAGTGATTCTGTGCATTACTTATCCTTCCATGTCCAGTCCTAATGTTAAGAAGCCTCAGAGAAAAGCTCCCGACAGTTAATGTGAACTACAAAAAAAACACTTTTATGTGCTATGACTCACATATTTTCTATTCCTGTACGTGGCTAAAGAAATCAACTTATGTAATATTTTGTCTAGATTTTATTAATTCTTAAAATTAATATAGTATATACAATTATGACGTATTCTAAGGCAAATTTTGGACATTAAAAGCTTAATATAAAATGATTTTCTTCCCCTGAAAGAAAAAAGCAAAAACAGGGTAGTGAGGATACCTCAGCCTACCAGTGTAATCACTTACTAAATCATGTTGTGGTAATTACTGGTAAATTCAGCCTAACAGTGTAATCATTTACTAAATTCTGGTAAATCCATCGTTCCACATTCTAACATAAAACAACAAAGTTAAATTTAAAGGTTCAATATTGTGTACTTCCTCTTAATCCCTGCTTCTTTATCATTAAATGGTTATATAATGCTGTTGGCATTTCCTTAACTGTTTTTCTGAAAGGGTTTACTAGATTTTCATGTTTTACCTTCTCTTGTCTCCAAGCATGCCATTTACGAGATTGAGAAATTTCCTGCAATCCTAATTTAAAGAAAAGGAGACTTTTTAAAAACATAATGTTTTAAAACTTTACTTTAGGTAATTTATTTAATATTTATATTACTTACTGTTTCAAATTCAGAATTTCTAATATCTTTAAATGCAGTAGCAACAAAATCCATGGAAAACCACTGACACGCCTGTTCCTGTCTTTGTTTTTCTGTGCTCATTCTACATAAAGCTTCTGTGATGCCCACTTGTAAGTCATAATCTATAAAAAATTATGAATCACAGTATAATTTAAAATAGAGTATATAAAAGGCCATATATTTTATAGGGTACTAAAACAAGAAAATAAGGAGCATATTAGTATAATTTATTATACTATCTTCATATGGATTAGAAAAGTCTCGCATTATAGGTATGAATACAGGTCAAATAAGTTCACTAACAGAAGACCCTGAATACTGTCTTCAGTAGTCTCTATGCCACAGAATCCTTGATTTCTTTTTGTTACACAATATTTACAATTATCTCAGAGTACTTTCAGCTGTGTGCTGAGCAAATCATCAGAGAAGCTGGCTTATATGATGAAGAATGTGGCATCAGGATTGGAGGCTTATTAACAATCTGAGATCTGCAGTTGACACAACCTTGCTTGCTGAAATTGAGGAGGACTTGAAACACTTACTGATGAAGATCAAGGATTGCAATTCAATGTAAAGAAATTGGTCACAAATGGACCAATAGGGACATCATGATAGAGAAAAGATTGAAGTTATCCAGACTTTGTCTTGCTTGGATCCACAGTCACTGCTCATGGAAGCAGCAGTCAAGATATGGGGAAAATGGGTTGCATTAGGTAACCCTGATGCACAAGCCCTCTGTAGAGTGCTAAAGAGCAGGGTGTTAGTTTGAGGACTAAGGTGCACAAAGCCTGATGCAAGCCATGCTATTTTTAACTGCCTTATATGCATATGATATTTGGACATTGAATAAGGAAGACAGAAGAATCAATGCATTTGAATTGTGGTGGAGAAGAATATTCAAAGTACCATGAACTGACAAACAAATCTGTCTTGAACTAAGTGTGGCTGAGAGAGCTCCTTAGAAGCAAGGATGGCAAGACTCCATCTTGCATACTTTGAACATATTTTCAGGAATGAACAGCCATGGAGAAGGATAGTATGTTTGTAAAGTAGAGGGACAGCGACAAAGAGGAAGGTCTTCAAGGAAGTTGATTGACATGTAGAACAACATAGGAACAATTGTGAGGATGGTGTAAACCCAGGCAGTGTTTCCTTTTGTTGTGCAATAGATCGCTATGGGTTGGAATCAATTCCAAGGTACCTAACAACTTTAAGCCAATAAGTTTATTCTATATGTAAATCAATACATCAAAATTTTCTCATGAGATTTGGGAAAAGAAATCTTGAGTTCCTTAAGTAATCATGCTTAAAAACAAGTCTATCAATCGTTATCCCATAAAATACCATTTGAAAAATTTCTCGGCACAATTAATTAAAATCTATTGCAAAATTAATATTCACTAATCTATCATAAGGTATATATTTATCTAATTCCTCTTGTCATGCTAAATTATTTTACTCTCAAAGATACTGTTCAATGAAGTAAGTGAATATCTATTAGATTATACATAAGCAATGTGTTTCCCCACATAATCTCAGTACATTATAGTGCTGATATTTTTATAGATATTCTAGTCATAACATTGAAATAATTGAAATATGGTTATTTTTTCAATTGAAATATGAAAAAAACACACCTCCAATATATAAAATCCTGTCCCCCATACTTCTCCTGTGGAGGGAAATAACATATTATACAGAGAACTATTATTAAATAAAAAGCTCATGTTTTAAAAACACACACACAAAACACTAACACTTACAATTAGCTAGTGCCACTATTTTTTAAGTTTTAAATATTGATTCATTTAGCAACTTGTTACATATTAATATAACACCTTTTTTTGTTAAAAAAATATTTTTTTTCCATAACAAAAACGCAGTAGCAAGAATAATGGCATTGGTTTACATTTTTTTCATAGCTCTTAAACTTCTAATTTAAAGGAACACAACTGGATTTGCCTCTTTTGCATTTAATCTCGTGTACTATTTTATTTTTGCTGAATTCCAAGAAGGAAATAAAATCTCATATAGATGTGTAGCTTAAAGGGGAAAAGAAAACATAAACCATTTCCTGGCATTTTCAGAGGACTGCAGGCAGTCTTTTTTGATACTATCAAAAAGACAAAAGGGTGGTTAATTTCAATGTGGAATCTGAAACCGTATCAATGAGCTTTTCATATTCCATTACATCAAAATCCAATGGTGTTTGACTTGAAAGGCTCTTTGCCCACATATGATGACTTAATAATTTAAGAGTAAATAAAAAGTATGCTGCTAGGCTTCCAGTTCATATATGTACTCTCGATTCCGAGCAGAGTATGTTTAAACATGTCTCTGTACTTACTTTTGTAAAAACTATGTGTTTATGTTAATCTTATTAGAAACCTATAACCTTCTATCAACTGTAATTATTGATATAGAACTACAGTTGCCTTATTGCGTAATAACTACTTCTTAAATTATAGGCTTGAAAAACTAATAAAAATATAGCATAAATTATTACATGAGAATTAACATTTCTTCATTAGAGAGTATTTCCCTGGCATCTTGAGGCATTTTGTCAAGCATAGCATTCAGTTTTTTTAGAATCTAGAAAAGAAAAAAATGATCCATTAACTTTATATACTCAGTGGAGCATTAAACATTTAGGGAAATATTCTAAGTACATCAACTTAGAGATTTATTTTTTTCATAAGCACACTTTATGCAGGGAGTAGAGTTGAGGAATAAATATAAACTATAGTGACTACAAAAACAAAAGCTTAAAGCCAGGTATCTCAAAAGTAGATTATGAGTCTTATTCTTATACTTAAAGTATACTTAATGTATACTTTCTGCCACATGACATACTTATTATTACTCCATTATAAGAACTAGAGCAGTTAAAGAAATGCTGCTTTTGTGACTATTAGAAATTTTGTTCTCCAACTTATACACATGAACATACATTATAAAGGTTAGTCTCAGTACTTAAATACCGAACAACTTCTAAGTGCTTGATGGCATGATTTATTTTCATGAGACCTATGCGTACATAAACCATATGGTTATGAATTTTCAATAAGCAACATAAAACTATCCTCTAGTTTTTTAATATTCCCTACCCTTACTATTATGATCTTAGTTTTAACTAATTAATCTTGTGAGACCTACGTATGTTCTTTTGTATAATTAAGATCGTTCAATACATGAAATCCAAGATCGATAAATCGTTCAGAAATAGTAACGGGAGTAATGATTTCCTGAGGGTACAGAAAGAGAGGGGGTGGGGAACAAGGGGAAGGGAGAACTGATAGCAATGACTATATAACCCCACTCGAGGGGAACAAATAACACTGGTAGGTGAACAGATACAATGGATGGTGTAAGGTATGGCAACATATACTCGAGTATAAGCTGACCCGAACACCAGCTGAGGCATCTAATTTTACCATAAAAACTGCATTTAAAATGTGCTGAAGACCTTGGCTTATACATGAGTATATACGGTATATAATATAATAACAAGGGTTCCTGGGGGTCATGGAGGGGAGGGATAAGGGGTATCCCCTGATATCAAAGAGTTTAAGAAGAAAGAAAATGTTTTGAAAATGATGGTGGCAGCAATTCTACAATTATGCTTGATCTAATTTACCATAGGATTGTTATATCTGTTAAGAGCTCCCAATAAAATGTAAAATGACAAAAAAACCCAATATACATAATAACTTAGTGTCAGGACACAACATTCAATTTGAATAACTACTAATCAACTTTTATCTCATTTTTAGGTTTAAAAAAATAATTTTACCTCTTGCTGAATATAGATGTTCACTCTAGTGTCAATAACCAGGGCACATATTCGAGGTGCAAAACTTTCCACTACTTGCCTTTTACCTGAATAAAGATATTAAATTAGTGACAGACACATACTAAATCCCTTTAAATGGCAATTTCTTCTCATATGAGTGCACAGTGTGTGCACTAGTGTAATCAAACACCTAGAGCCAGAGAATGAGGAAGCATCCTGAGGCCTGAGCTAAATATCTCTGTGTCCTACAACAAACCCCACTCACAGATGCTGGTGAGAGAGCAGCCCTGGCCCAGCTTCTGGTTTCAGTCACTTAAGGGAGTACTACTTTTTTAGACAAAACATATATAATCGAAAGAGTGGAAATTTCCCTTTTGAGGATTTTAAGGAAACTGGCCTCATTAAAACAGTTCTACTTCAAAAACTCTTACCCTCTTGATGACCATTCAGCATGGCTTGACACTAAACTCCAAATAACTCAAACTGTTTCTAAAGTTTAAATTCAATCCCCAAAGATGAAGCTTTATCAACAGTAAAGGCATTCAAGGGAGTTTGCTACATGCTATTTCATAAAGTAAATATAAAAAATAACTTTAAACAATACCAATGCTGTAACAGCAAATACATAACTTCCAGAGTAATAACTATAAGGGGATGGGGGTGGGGAACAGGGAGCAACAAGGTAAAAAGAAATGATTGAAAAAAAATTAGTTGGATCACTTTACAAGCCCCCTAGCACCTTAGAACAGTTTTCTGCCCTAAAAAAAGTAGGAATTGAGACCTAATAAGTGTGTTATATGTTAATTGCTGAAATTAAGAAATCGATAAAATGGCAGCATTTGCTACTTAAATAAATAGCAATTGATCTTTTTAAGCTTGATGTGATTGAAGGAAGAAAACTGCTACTGTCCATTAACAAGATTTATTTTCTCCAATCCTAGGTTACCTTGCTCAACTAATCCAACCATACTCTCACCTGACTAGTTGGTACAAGACAGGCCAGTCACAAGTGCACACTACAAAGAACTCTACATTCCCATTCTTAGGATAGAAATTTGTGAATCTGCAGCTTCGGGAGAAGGATATATCTGACCAGAGCACACAGGAACAGATGATGGGGGAGGAGGAGAGACTGGAGCACATCCTGACCCAC